ATATCTAGGAGTGCTTCAACCTCCAACACAGTCTGAGTATTCCCTCCTAAATGGCAGCTATTACCCTCCTCCTAAGCTGCAAGGCCTCACAGATGCCAGTTGAGTTAAAGCCCAAGAAGGCAGGTGGAATTGGCAGTCGAACCTGAAGCTGACTCAACACCCCTGGCATGGTGGAGGGAGGAAATTCTAGGTTTGCTGATCCTCACAGTGGCAGCCAAGGTTGTATTCTCAAACTTTGAATGAAATTGGGTTTGCATCACGTGTCTTGAAAAAGGAAACTAGACCTTGGCATAGCAGGGAAGCTGACTCGCAAAGCCCTCTTGGAGATCTCAGCCTGGGAACCAGTGACTGCATGCTAATATTCATTCATCCTTCTGCTCATTTGTTCAAGCATTTACTGAATTCCCTTTGGTACCAGACATAGTTCTAGGCTATGGGGATATGAAGATTAAAATCTCTGTTTTCAAGGTGATCTTATTCTAATGAAGGAGCAAATAGCAACATCCTTCATAGAGTGAAAGGTATGTGCTAGAACACACATTCTCAAAGGAGACAAAATTTGGTTCTTAAAAATTGGTTCTTGTTATATCTTAGATATTGTATTATAATAGTTTGTGGCCCTCCAAATCTCAATCATACCTGATTGAATTCTAGTCCTTAATATTTAATTTCTCTTATTAAAAATAATCTAACTCTTTATTTGAGAGCAAGAATAAAACTAAAAGTTTAGAAACACTAGAAGAATGCACAGGAGCTGTGGGTCTCATAGGAAGGCCTCGAGCCCCTCCAGCTAAGCCACCAGGAAGCCTTCCTGAAGGATGAGACTCTGAGCCAAGCTTTGAAGTAAAAGTAGAAATTCTACAGGAGAACACGTGGGAGAAAGGTGTTTGTGCACAGGGAGTAACAGGTTCAAGGGCTAAAGATGTTAAGAAAGCGCTATTTAAGGAATCGCAGTGGTTCTAAAGAGAGAATTTAGCAGGTTGGATTGGGATGGGAGGGATGGTGTGACCCTCTGGAGTCCAGCTCTGTTCTAGCTCAGCTCTTGCAAAGGGATTGTATTTTATTCTCAAAGAACTGAGGAACCATTAAGAAGCTTCAAGTAAGAGAGTAATATATTCAGATTTATGTTTTAAAAATATTCTAGGAAGAAAAGAGAAGAAATTACATGTTGACAGCACTGGTGAAAACAAAAGTGGGAGGAGGGGCAAAGGCTGGATCCCAAGCAGGGAAACTGTTTAGGAGGAAACCATTGCTCTGAAAAACTGGGCAGAGCCAAGATGAAGTCCTCCGCGAGAGCCAGTGGCAGCGGGATGCTCCGGAGAGCTTGCCTTGTGGGCAGATGGGCCGTATGGTCTGGAAACGACTGTGTGTGGGCAGCCGCCGCCACCATCTATGAAAGCAAGCCAGAATAATTAAATACGTGTTTACACAAGGCATCCACATAGGGCTTTCCAAGGGAACTGATATCGTTTTCTTTTTCAAAAGCTTGTTATTTAATTCAGAATATATACGAAAATAAAAGTAGCATGATGAACACTGTGCACAGTGTTAACAGTGATTTGCTTAAAACCAACCTTGCTTCATCTCCACTCTCAGTCTGGTTTATCCACCTCACCAGTGGAGTTATGAAAAAATTCCAGGCATCATCTCATCTTGTAACTATTACTAATGTATGCCTTAAAAATACTCTTTTAAAAACACATAACTAAATAAAATCATCAAAATATTAGCAATATTTTTATTATAAAATATTCAATGTTCACATTTCCCAGGTACATATAAAATCCTAATTAAAATCAACTGTTTTTTTAAGGCAATCAGATATAGATAGATAGCTGGCTTTTTTTTTTTTTTTTAAGATGGAGTCTCGCTGTGTCACGCAGCCTGGAGTGCAGTGGCAGGATCTCATCTCGCTGCAACCTCCAACTCCCTGGTTCAAGCAATTCTCCTGCCTCAGCTTCTTGAGTAGGTGGGGCTACAGGCATGTGCCACCATGCCTAATTAATTTCTGCATTTTTAGTAGAATCACGGTTTTGACATGTTGGCCAGGCTGGTCTCGAACTCCTGACCTCAGGTGATCTGCCTACTTCAGCCTCCCAAAGTGCTGGGATTGCAGGCATGAGCCAGTCATTGTGCCCGGCCAGTAGATACCTTTTTATAACAGTTGGTTTTAATTAGAATCCCAAGTGATCTACTCATTGCTTTTGGTTGTAATTTCTCTTAAATATCCCTTTTCTTTTCTTTTTTTTGAGACAGAGTCTCATTCCGTTGCCCAGGCTGGAGAGAAGTGACACAATCTTAGCCCACTGCAACCTCCACTTCCTGGGTTCAAGTGATTCTCCTGCTTCAGCCTCCTGAGTAGCTGGGATGACAGGTGCCAGCCACCACGCCTGGCTAATTTTTGTATTTTTAGTAGCGACTGGGATTCACCATGTTGGCCAGGCTGGTCTTGAACTCCTGACCTCAGGTGGTCTTCCCAACTCAGCCTCCCAAAGCGCTGGAATTACAGGCATGAGCCACCATGCCTGGCCAAATCTCCTTTCTCTTTTGTGTTTCTGGCAGTTTATTTATTAAAGAGATCAGAAATCAGCTTCCATTTCTGTCATAATTTAAATAGAGCATCACGTCATCCTGTTTCCACCCCAGTGTGATCACAGGAATGTGTCTTTCTTAGTTAAGATCTACCACTTTCTAGATTTGTATCTCCATCACTATCTAAATTCATTGGGTGCTCTAACAATTGCCTTCTAGTCATAGCGAGGACTCGGATGCCAATGAAAAAAAGTCTCCAAATAGAGCAGGCTGAAGCAGACTATCCTAAAGCCATTTACTTCATCTCTGGCATTATTTTGTCATCTTTGTGTCGCAGATCACATTGTCAAAAAATAACATGAAATACTCACTCTGGGTTGCCTGAAGAACGAGCTGAGTAGAACCAGGTGCCCCCCTTCTCCCAACAAATGGGACTACCCCCAACTTCCCCTTCCCATGGACCAATGTTTGTTTTCATCTAGACTGCAGTTTCAATAGACACTTCCCACTGGTTCCTGGGCCTCTAGGTCCTGGGCAACTATCCTTCTCCCCGAAACCCATAAAAAACTGATGCCCCAATCCAAAATGCTTGGCACCCATTGACAAGTTTGTGCTTATGCTTGCCTTATACAAAGAGCAATAAGGGGGTCAAGATCTTTCCTATGGCTTACATACCTCCACTGAATGGCCCACAGAGTGCCCAGCAGTAACTAATGTTTAACTGTGCCAGAGGTTACTAATTGAATGACTCATTCTGAATTTCATCCAGAATATAGTTGATGAGGGCTGCAAAGTACATGTAATCTATCCAGTAGTACTCTGTTCATTGAGGTCAAAGCCAGCTCTGAAAGATGACAAAATACCATTCTGTAGGAAAATTTAGACTTTGACCTCTGCCCATTATTCAGTTACCCTCTATCTTGATGTTTCTCTCAGGAGCTCTTAGCAGATCATCAGCAGCCTGTTGGCCACAACTTCAGCAGCAGCCCAGAAGAAACTTGTGAACCAGCAGACAGAGCTGTTTTAGGCTTGATGTGGAAGCTTCTCAGCTGCTAACTTAAACTTGAGGCCAATATTGAAGATTTTGTGCCCTAACATGTTGACAAGCATTGCAGTGCGTAGTGGATGGTCTTTAGTCCTGAATGTATGGAGCAAATACATTCAGTAGAGTGCTCAGAAAGTAGAGGTGATGGCTGCATTCAGAACTCCCAGTCTATGGCCAGAAGTGAAGTAAGCGCTGACGGGAGAGGATGCATTGCTTCCCACATTACTCTATAGACCTTCCATTCTATATTCATCCTCATTCTTCACTGCACACACAAATAATTGAATTGTTAACTCAAGCTTTTCTTTGCCTCCTTATTTTAGGGTTTCATATCGTAAATGAACAGCTGCTCACTGCAAAAATGTGGCCATGTTAGTGCTTCATGAGGATGTAATGTGACTATAAAAGCTGTTTTGTGAAAGTAGCTACTGAACCATTTCATTGTATCCTTAGGTGCAGCAATGAAACAGTTCCTTAACCATTCACAGCTCCCAGGTCCAGGGAGTAAAACAAGAAATGCCCAAGAACTTTAAGCATGTCAGAAATAAATAAAACTCTTTAAATTCTGAGGCTTATTTGCAACCCTGACACCATCACAATACACACCATGTTGAAGGCGGCCCATGACATCTTTCAGGCCAGTGCTCCAGGCAGAACACATTCACAAGTGACTTCTGCCATAAAAATGTTGAATAGCCAAAATTAGTTAATGACAGTGAGGCAGCCTGGTATGTGCTGTTAAAGCACAGCTTACAACAGTTTTTACTGAAAGAGGAGAGATGCTATTCAAACCTCCACTTCAATATCAGTGAATTGACTGGTAGAACTCACATTTGAAGACAGTGGAATGATATGTAAGAGATTCTAGATTTCTTGCTGTTGTCTTCAAGCTTACTTATCTAAGTTCCACTTAACCATATATATGTTATCATTTGTCCAATCCTTACCAAAAATCACTATTCTATATCAAAAGTTAGCTTGCCTGTGAAGAAAACAGAAATAGCGTGTTCTGATGTCTTCTTTGTTACTGCGTGACTCTCTCCTCTCATATTCTCATGCCTCCTCAGCCACATGTTTATTTCGCAGGTGTTTACTGCACACTTACCAAATGCTAGGTAAGCACTGTCCTAGACATGGACACAGTTGAAAGGTCCTGCAGCCCCAGTTGGGAGGATCTCACAGATTTAAAACATAAGTGATTAGGCAGTGTTTCTCTTCCCTGGCACTGACAATGACTATATCCCTGCATTTGAATGTAAGATCCTACTAATGAAATGCTACTTCCCAAAATAATTATTTTCTGAGACATAATGCTTTGACAAGGATGTTTTGAATTCCTACTTTATTTATGAATATATATATGTGTCTTACTCTTTTGCTTTTTCCAAAGAAAACAATTACGATTCCCTGGCATTTATTGCAGATGAGCAAGAAAGTTCCGGAGCGATTATTTACACCGTGGAGCTTAAACGCTATGGGGGGCCCCTTGGCATCACAATTTCAGGAACTGAAGAGCCATTTGATCCTATAATCATTTCAAGCCTCACTAAAGGGGGATTAGCTGAAAGGTAAAATGTGAAGTAACTGTTATAATTACCTGTGTCTGAGATGGGCTTCGTTCCTCACAACCACATAAAAACATGCCCCTCTTTCTGTGGTTATCTGTTGGCTTTTAAAAGTCTGCACAAAGAATTGATCTTAGAGCTTGAGAACTCTCAGGCAGAGCCCCGACTTGACTCTGAAGGGCATCTTACAGACAGTAGAAGATGTCATGGGCTTGGCATTGATACTACTCTCTGAAATACGTAAACTGACCACAATTGACTGAAGGTGGGTTTGTATTGTGTCCATTTTGAGAGGAGGAACCTAAAGTTCAGGGAGGTTGAATGGCTTGTCCAATTTTCATTCAGCAAACACTTGCTGAGGCTCTGTTACTTGACAGGTGCTATGCTTAGCTGCTGTGTTTTCAGGAGAGGATGATACAGGTATTGTCTTTGAGGATTATGGGAAACAAAGCGTAGTGATCCGTTTTAATAATGTCTTAACATCTGGAATGTCCATTTTTTCCTTTGGCAATGATGCACACACACAGTGACCCACTACTCACCCTCTGCTAAACTGCATTTCTTTCTGAGAAGTGTTATCAGACATATAACAAACCCTATAAGCAAATCTGTCCTCCAGTAACCTAGCTCAGGAATACACAAATGCATTGTTCCTGCTAACACTTGAAAACAGTGGTTAGCAAAACAGAGACACAACATTGCAGAATGTTGGAGCCGCAACGTACCTTAGAAATTAGAGAGACAGTCCTAGGAATCTCTGTTAGAGAGACACAAAGAACAGATTAATATTGATCTAATTCAGCAACCTACTGGTAAAGTGTTCATGGCTTATAGCATAGATCTTTTATAAACTAGAGACCCTTTATGAAAGAATGAAGAGGTTTTTTTTTTTTTGCTTCAGGGAAAAAAAATTCTTGAGAATTGATATAATGGTAGACTTGCTAAGCAGCCCCTCATAACCCATGTGAGCCCGTGTCACCTCTGTTGCCCCAATTGCTGCTGCCCGGCACAGCTGCCACTGTAAGATGTGGCCAGAGCACTGAGTCACAAGCTCCCCTGGGAGCTGGGTAATTTCTCACTTATTGCATTTCAAGTGAGCCAATACAACAGGAGGCTGGCAAGTGTGAGTCATACTCTACAGCTATGTGATCCACTCTTCCATTGTTATAAAGAAATACCCTAGGCTGGGCAATTTAGAAAGCAAATAGGTTTAATTGGCTCCCAGTTCAGGCCTTAACATCTGCTCAGCTTCTGATGAGGAGTTAGGAAGCTTACAGTCGTGGCAGAAGGTAAAGGGGGAGCAGATGTCTCACATGGCAAGACTGGGAGGAAGAGAGAGAAGGGAGAGGTCCCACATGCCTTTAAACAACCAGATCTCATGAGAACTCAGAGCAAGAACTCACTCATCACAAAGGGTACGGTGCCAGGCTATTCATGGAGGATGTGTCTTCATGATTCAAACACCTCCCACCAGGTCCATCCCCAACACTGGAGACCACATTTCAACATGAGATTTGGAGGGGACACACTTGCAAACTATATCAACAGCCTTCAATCCCATGTAGAGTTCTGAGTTTTCATAACATCCCTGAGCTTCCCAGCTATGAGTCTCCTCTTTTCCCAGCAAGTGCTTCCAAAGATAGATATGGTAAATATCAGAATTGTATGTTCTAATTTGCCAGTTCCAAATTTGGTGAGAATGGGAAGAGAAGGGGAAAAAGAACGGAGGTTTATTAGTTTATTGATCAATGAATTTATTTTCTTTTCCACATTTCAAGCAGTGTGCTGGGCCTCGTATGTTTGTTTTCCTGTTGAATCCTCAGGGCTTCCCTGTGAGGTGATTATCTCCGTCACAGATGAGGAAATTGAGCACAAAGAGGTTAAAATAAAATACCCAGGTCACACAGCTGGTATGGTGGAGTTGGATTCAAAGGCAATACTAACTGATTCCTGCGTCCAGCCGTTTTCAGTGTTTAGAATCATCAGTAGGGGAGGCCTGATCATATCAGGGTCCGGCGAGTATCCCCATCTCTCTGAAGCTCACTTCTGGTGAGCTGCGTACTGAGTGTGTTACACTTAAAATCTGTAGAAAGAAGGGATGCTCCATGCTACCCATTGCTACATTTGTCACTCAACATTGTTCATTTTCTTGGGAGTTTTAGGGGACTTACCCAGTGGCTTGACTTTCTTGGAATTTAAAAAGCACACAAGTCCATTTTAACAACGAAATAAAATGATTTTTAAATTTTTATTGGAAACTAAAAAGTAATCCACAACAGATGCAGTTATCTTATAACATTGCCCAGGAGAAAGCAAGGAGAAGGGACTTATGGAGACCCTTGCCAAGTCTTTATTATGATGAATGTATATGGTATGTCAGGGAATTTATATTCAGCACCATGCAGCGATTATTTCTACATCTCCTGTTACTATTTGGCGTTTCAGAACTGGCGCAATCCACATAGGAGACCGAATCCTAGCCATCAACAGCAGCAGCTTGAAAGGGAAGCCTCTGAGTGAAGCCATCCATTTGTTACAGATGGCAGGAGAGACTGTCACCTTGAAAATTAAGAAACAAACAGATGGTGAGTAGTGCGTTGGAAGTCACAATTAAGGATTTCCAGTGCATTTTCTTCCTGGAAAGAAAGTGCTAGTGTCTGTGTGTAATTCCAGGGAAACAAATCTCCAGCCACAGAGTATTTGGTATATTTTTATTTAAATTTACTCTGATACTTAAGCTCCTTTCCTTTCGATAAAGCCCAGTCGGCATCAAGCCCCAAGAAGTTCCCCATTTCTAGCCATTTGAGTGACCTGGGGGATGTGGAGGAGGACTCCTCGCCAGCACAGAAGCCAGGCAAGCTCTCTGATACGTACCCCTCCACAGTGCCAAGTGTGGACAGTGCTGTGGATTCATGGGATGGGTCTGCAATAGACACCAGCTATGGAAATCAAGGTATGTCTTTACTTTGGGGACAGTGGACTCATCACTGTTGAAGCCCATGCTTCTCCAAGATTCATCCTCTGCTCCATGAGGAGAGTATCTTCATTTAACTTGTGTCTGCTTCAGTGCAGCCATATTCATATTGAACACATTGAATACTTGCATTCAGCTGGCCGTGCATTTTTTTCTAGTGCTTATGAGGTACTAGCATTTACCAAACACTAACAGGCCCCCATTAGATCTACTGATGGCCATGCACCCCATCCAGAGCTTGTCCTTCAAGCTTAGATTAATATGAGGCAAACCATACAATAAAGTGGTTTCTTGAATATAGGCCCCATTGTCTTATTTTTCAACAAGCTTTCCACAAAGATGGATTGGGGAGTTCTGAAGAGGCGTATAAGAGATTAGCCAATGATTTGTTACTCATTCCTGCCTACTCCTGACTTTCTTTTTTCTTTGAGAGATTGGGTCTCACTCTGTCACCCCGGCTAGAATACCCTGGCACTATCATAGTTTATTACAGCCTCAAACCCAGGGATCTTGCTGCCTTAGTAGCTGAGACTGTATGCACACACCACCACATCCAGCTGATTTTTAAATTTTTTGTAGATATGGGGTCTTGCTATGTTGTCCAGGCTGGTATCAAACTTCTAGCAAGTCTCCCACCTTGGCCTCCCAAAGTGCTGGGATTATAGGCATGAGCCACCATGCCCTTTCCCTGAATGTTTATAATTAGAGAGTTATAATCACAGTATAGGAAAGTATAGAGCAGATTTTTCTTCATAGGTGTCATCGTCATGCGAAGAAATACTGTCTACAGTAAAAGTTAAGCCTCACTCATGGAATATAAACACATAAAAAGTGTCAGACTGAATACACAGCATGAACTAATAGTTTCTTTTAAAAAATGTTTTCTTCCCAGTGATCCATAGCATCAAAAAGAGAAGTATGTCAAAACTTCTTGGTTTTTCCCCCTCATCTGGGCCTTACCTTCTCTCATGTCCTGTATAAATTCCAGCCCCTGAATCCTTTGTTTGCTCTGGGTTTCAGTCAGTCAAATAATAAAACACATGAACAGCTTAGAGAACACATTTGTGTGTAAGGGCTGCTTTGTCACTGAGCTCACTGTACTTTTAGGAGAGTCTGTATCCAGTTTGCTCTCTCCTGGTTTTCCTAGTTTCCTTCTCTCAGCCTACCTATGTTGTGTCACTCTCTGTTAAGTCCTCTGGTTAAAAAAAAAAAAAAATAGCAGGGAGAAAAAACTGGAAAAAAATGAAAAGAGATGATATTTCCGAGTTGTCAAGTTGTTATTTTCATTAGAGATGATACTGGAGTTGGGTGGAGAAAATACTTTGAACACCTAAATAGAATTGGGGCTTTAATTTATCTGGCAGTGAATTTTTCCAAGTCATAATAACTTGTGACAAGTTTGCCTAAGCCACCAAATAACAGACCTTCTGACTGTCTGAGAATTGACGGGCCACCAGAACACACTGGGTGAAGGACAGAAGTCATATCTGATCAGAGTAGACTCAAGTTTATTTATCAACATATTATGTATTGGTTATTTATTCATGTATTATTTGTGTATTGCTTATTAATGTGGAGATATTTTTGTTACCAGAGATTTTTGTGAGGGCACTATTGATGTGAATGAGTTCTGCCCCGTAAGGTGGTCCATAAGACCTTAGCTACTCTGTTCCTTGAAACCATAGAAACAGGACCATGAGAAGCAAACTGAATGTAGGACCTGCCCCTCACTAGCAAAAGATGAAAAACCATTTGTTATTTATGAAGCATTTTGAAATTTTGAATCATAGTCATAATAGTACATTTTGCATTCACAATTTAGGCATTTTTATGAGTTTGAGGGGAACTAAGTGATAAGTAGAGACAGTGGCAATCAGGATAGAATCAAAGTACTCCAAGATAATGAAAAAATAGTAATAATCCTTTATATATGTAGAACACTCTAGCGTTTACAAAGCACTTGCGTGTAACTAATCCTCATTAATTCTTGTAACGAACATGGAAGTTGAAGGCAGGATTTCAGTGTTTGGAAAGGGTTTAGGAGTCAGCTAGTCTGATGTCCAGAGCAGCCCTTGATGCCAGATCCTTCCTCGTGGCACGCCAAGACACGCTGCATGGACTTGAGCGCCCAAGGTAGCAGGTTGTTCCTTGTGCTGAGGCACACCCCCCCTCAGTCTCCACATAGCTCTGATGACTCAAAAGCTCTCACTTGTATTGAGCTGCAGTGTGCCTATTAGTCCTGGCTTTACCCTCAAGGACATTCTGAACTAGACTAAAGCCTCTTCTCCTGACAGCCCCTCAGATACTAGGAGACAGCTGTCAGGTCTCAGTTGACGCCTTTTTTTCCAGGCAAAATAGCCCCAGAACTTTTAATTGTGCCTTCTATAATTTACTGAAGAGTATTTTCATTGTCCTGTGGGCCCCCTTTCTGAATGTGCTCCAGTTTACCTGCATACCTGTTGAAGTGTAGCAGTCAGAAAGGAAAATCAGCCTGACAGCCCAGAGCAAAGCAAGTTTGTCACTGACATCATTGAAGACAGGAGAACTGATCTATGATGCCTACCTCAACATAAGAATTTTAGTGGTCGTGGCACATCTGCCACTCATTTTGAGATTATAGTTTACCAAGATCTCAAAGTCTTGTGAATGTGTTTTTTTTTTCTTTACTTGTGATATACCACCTCTCTCCAGATTGTGCTTGTGAGGTTGACTTTTTAAAAGCAAGGTACAGCTGGGCACAGTGGCTTAGGCCTATAATTCCAGCACATTTGGAAGCTGAGGTGGGCAAATCACCTGAGGTCAGGGGTTTGAGACACGCCTGAGCAACATGGTGAAGCCTCATCACTACTAAAAATACAAAAATTAGCCAGGCATGGTGGCACACACCTGTAATCCCAGCTACTCAGGTGGCTGAGGCAGGAGAATCGCTTGAACCAGGAGGCAAAGACTGAAGTGAGCCGAGATAGTGCCACTGTACTCCAGCCCGGGCAATAGAACAAGACTATGTCTGAAAAAAATAAAAACAAAATTAAAAGCAAGGCATAGAACCGTACTTTTATTCTTCCTTTTCAGTGTTACGTTGTGAGATACAGCTTATCTTTCCAACCTGTCCCTCCAGCCTCTCAGCAGGCTCTCTGCCTTGTCCCAGGAAGCCCCTGCACGTTCTCTCTGTTCCCATTAAGGCTGTAATAGTTGCTTTGTTCCCAGGAAGCTGTTGCGCCTCCATAATGTACATCTTCCTCCTGGGGCTGGAAATGATGTCTTTGCAGCCACATTCCTTACTGTTCTCTGCTTCTTCTCTAAAATGTCAAGCTTGCCCCACTCATTCCTTCATCCAGTATGTAATGACTGGCTCAATATCAGGTCCATAGACCATGTGGGTACACTGTTAGGCAAAGGAGACATGGTCTCTGCTCCGGAAGAGGTTGCCCGGCTGAAGGTCCAGTCAGTTGACAGGTAAACAAACAGTGGCCCTATCACTTCACTAGTGAAAAGAGAAATAGAATGGAATGAGAAATGCTGGTGGGGGAAGAGGGGATGTGTTTAAGGAAGTCCCACAAGGGGCTGACCCTCAATTCCACTGTGTAGCTCTAGCATGCTGACTTCTCCCAGTTGGCATCAGGGTTAGCTTCTTTCACTCCCCGTTGTCTTACCCTTTAGATTTCTCATGCCCTTCTGCCTTATCAAAATCTTAGGCATTTGGCCTCCTTGTATCTTATTTATTCTTCCTTGAACTCTGAGAAAACCCTATGACTGTTTTACTTGGACTTAACAAAGGTCAATACAAGAGGAGACTGGCAAATTGGTGGTGGTACATAGACTGCCATTCTCATGGGCTGAGTAGCTCTTGTGCTGTCTGTAACTTTTGACTCTCAACTCAGATCGTTACGTTTCTATCTTATTTTTCTCCTTTTTGAGGTCATTTTGATTATTTGTGCTCTCTTAGAAAACAAAGTTATTTCAGCCAGATGTCAAATGTATTTTCATATAATTAAGTAATCTATTAACTCTTATATTTTCTGTTTCTATATTATATCCATAATACTGTTCCTTAATTGGTATATCTGTGGCTTTATTATTTTCCCCATGATTCCCCATGATTCAATTAGTAACAGTTTGTTTGATTTCTTTGTTTGGTTTTTATTTTTTCCCCAGACAACTGACTCTTGCATTTATTTATTAGTTATACTCTGGGGTTTTTTTCCCCACATAAAATTTTACTTTTAATTTGATTAACTCTTTCATTCAGTTCCTTTTAAATGTTATTCCTCTATGATTTAAATTGGATGCACAATTTATTTATTTTCATTGTTTTATAAGGATCTATTCCTTCTTTGTGTTTTCATGAGGATGATAACTGATAAAGGACAGCAATCTGCAGTCAGAGTCCAACTTAAATGTCATTAAAAAATATAAATACTACATACAGAGGATAGCACAGAGTAGAAAATTCAACAGTATCCTCCTCTACTCATTGGTGGGGTTTCATTTTTCTCTTGCATTTCATTTCTGATCTCTACAAGCTCATATTTCATCATCATCTTGCCTTGCCCGGTTTCCCCTGAGCTCTTATATTTCTGCTTTGATCTCTTGTTTTATAGAGGTGATGACTTTGCTGTGTAATTTTTAAACTTTGTGATTATTTCTATTTGGTCATGTTTATCATTTGCTCTGAAGCAGGCTTTTTCTCATGAGTATACTTCATCAGCTATTGCTTTGTTTTTCTATGCCTTTACTCTCATTTCTCTGATATTTACTGGTATACATGTTATGCCAATTCCTTTTCAATCACTGCTCACCACTGAATAATATGAGTTCTTCCTGAACTGAAAGTTGCTAGAGGTTCTGAGAAGAGCCCAGGTTGTGTTCCAGGCTACTAAACGTACCCCAGTTCCAGCATGGTATGTGTGAGCGAGTTCTTCCCCAGCTACCAGAGAGCAGCAACAGCAGGCTGCTCACAAGGCGGAATTCCTCTCTGC